CTGCATTTGTTTTTTCCTATTCATTTGCCTTTACGTATTTAGAGGCTGTGTTATTAGGTACGTGTAGACTTTAAATTTACCTTCTCTCTTCCTGGTGAATTGACTGAGCAATCATCGTGAAATGACCACCTTTGTTTCTAGTAATGCTTTATGCATTAATGTCTACTTTGTCTGATGTGATAGTTTTGTGGGTTTGTTTGGTTTTGTTTTGTTTTTAGAGAGAGAGCAAGACAGAAGGCACTCACACATGCATGAGCAGGGTGGGGAAGGCCAGAGGGAGAGGGAAAATCTTTTTTTTTTTTTTAAAGATTTTATTTATTTATTTGAGAGAGAGAGAGAGAATGAGAGAGAGAGAGCATGAGGGGGGGAGGGTCAGAGGGAGAAGCAGACTCCCCGCCGAGCAGGGAGCCCGATGTGGGACCCGATCCCGGGACTCCAGGATCATGACCTGAGCCGAAGTCAGTCGCTTAACCAACTGAGCCACCCAGGCGCCCGGGAGAGGGAAAATCTTAAGCAGGCTTCACGCTCAGCGATCAAGCAGGGGCTCGATCCCAGGACCCTGAGATCATGACCTGAGCCAAAGGCAGACACTTAACTGACTGAGCCACCAGGCGCCCCCAAGACATCTTTTTTAATATATATACAGGCACTGTTTGTTTAGAATTACCACCCAATTTACCATTTTGTCATTCATGTCTGTGTTTCTGACCTTCCCTCTGGAATCACACTCATTTTGTGCAGGTTTGCCATTGTCAATGGCTCCCAAGTTTTTTTGCTTGAAACTGTCTTGATTTTTTATACTGTCATTGGGAACGGAACTTTAGATCAACAACTGTGACTTTTCAGTCCTTCAACTGTGCCCTTCCCCTCTCACTTGGCTTCCACTCCTTCTGTCCAGAGGTCAGCTGTCGGGCTCATTAGTGCTCCTGGGAAAGAAAACATTCCCCTGTGGTTCAGCTTTCCTCTTTGTCTTTGGTTTGTAATGGTTTCCCCACCGTGTCCATGCTGGGCGTGCCCTTGCTTTCATTCATGCTGCTGGGGATTCACTGAGTTTCTCGAGTCTGTGCCTTCGTGACTTTCATCCATCAGGTGAAAGTCTCAGCCGCTTTCTTCTCAAATACTGTTTCTGTAGCATTCTTCTGTGTCCCCTTCTGGCACTCCAGCCACCCACACGTTGGGCTTTCTCACTGTCCACCCTGTGCGGATATGTTCTCCATTGTGTATTTCCCCTCCCTTCATCTCTCCATGCTCCTTTCTGAATATCTTCTTCTGACTCATCTTCCAAGTCACTGATTTTTCCCTTCAACTCTGTACAACATGCTGGCATGCTCCTCCACAGAGCCCTTCGTGTCTCTTCTTCTGTTTCTCACTTCTGGACGTTCCTTTTGATTGATTATTATTAATTAGTATTAGTTTCAAGTTCTCTGCCACAATTCTGTCTTACCTTTATCTCCTCAAATGTAGCAAGCACAGCTGTTCCAATGCTTGATTGTGATAATGCCACTGTGAGTTTCCCACCCAACCCCCCCACCCCCCGCATGGCAAGCATGCAATACACACTTGTTGGATATTTTTAGTAAGGAGGATCTCAGCCCAAATGGACGGCTCATTTGGTGGCTATCTCAATTAAACCTTTGGAACGTTTTCTTATCTTTCAGCAAGGAGGTTTCCGAGTTATCTAGAGTATACAGACTTCTACTCTTATTTGTGAAAATCTCTAAATTGGAAATTTCTTGTCCTTGCCTGACCATCTGCATAAAGAGAAATGGGCTCTGCTCCATTCTGCCCTAGGAGGAGCTAGTTACCAGGGCCAGCTGATGTAGGACATCTGAGGTCACTACGCCTTTCCAAGCCCTACTCCAGCTGTGTGGGGACATCAGAGAGAAAGGCATGGTCCTCAATTAGCTGTTCCTTGTGGACTGCTTCCCTTGGCACCTGAGTCAGCCTCCTGCGTTTGTGTGATCTCATCCAACAATTGGTTCCAAAATGCTTGTTAAGTAATGCTCTTGGAAGAACTAAGCCTGACAATCCCATCCCACCTCACTGAACCCTGGGCCCTGACCCCCTCCTGAGCCATGCCCAGAATAATGAGCCTGGCTCTGAAGGTCGCCTGTCTGGAGCTCCAGGACTCCCCAGGCCTCAGCGGAGAAGGGCAAGGCATTCTAATGTGTGTGTGTGTGTGTGTGTGTGCGCGCGCATGCACCCGCATGTGTGTTTATAACTACTGAGATATAATTTACAAAACATACAATTTGCCCGTTTCAAGTGTGCAGTCCATGGTTTTAGTATATTTTCCCAGTCACATGACCACCCCTACCATCAATTTTAGAATTTTCATCACTCCAAAAAGAAGGGCGCCTGGGTGGCTCAGTCGGTTGAGCGACTGCCTTCGGCTCAGGTCATGATCCCAGGGTCCTGGGATTGAGTCCCACATCGGGCTCCCTGCTCTGCGGGGAGCCTGCTTCTCCCTCTCCCACTCCCCCTGCTTGTGTTCCCTCTCTCGCTGTGTCTCTCTCTGTCAAATAAATAAATAAAATCTTTAAAAAAAAAAAAAAAAGAAAAGAAAACCTCGTCCCTGTTAGCACTCACTCCCTTCCCCCAAACCTCAGCCCCTGGAAACCTTTAATCTACTCTCTGTCTTTATGGATTTGCTGGTCAGGACATTTCACATAAGTGGAATCATATAATAAGTGGTCTTTTGTGACTGGCTGCTTTCACTTGGCTTCGTGTGTTTGAGGTCCATCCAGGCTGTAGCAGGTTGTCACTACTTTCTTTATAGTTGAGTACTTCTCTGTCGTACAGACAGACCACATTTTGTTCATTTATTCATCACCTGATGGACTTTTGGATTGTTTCCACTTTTTTTATTATGAATAGCGCTGCCAAGGACATTCATCCACAATGTTTTCTTTTCTTTTGGGTATACACCTAGAATTGGAATCACTGGGTCACCTGTAGCTCTATGTTTAATATTCTGCGGACACGTAAGACGGTTTTCCAAAGTGGCTGCACCATTTTACCTTCCTGCCAGCCGGGTCGGAGGGTGCCAGCCTCTCTCCATCCTTGCCAACATTTGTCGTTTTGATGACAGCCATCCTGTTGGTTGTGAAGTTGCATCTCACTGTGGTTTTGACTTGCATTTCCCTGGTGGCTAATGATACTGAGCATCTTTTCAGGGATCTATGGGTCATTTGTCAGTCTTCTTTGAGAAACGTTTATTGAGACCCTTTGTCTATTTTTTAATTTGTTTTTTTTTTTAATCATTGAGTTGCAAGAGTTCTTAATGTACTCTGGATATAAGTGCCTTATCAGATCTATGATTTACAAATATTTTCTCCCATTCTGTGCTGTCCCTTCACTTTCTCAGTCATGTCCTTTGAAGTCCAGAATTTTAAATTTTGGCGGTGTCCGATTTATCTATATTCCCTTGTGTTACTTGGGGTTTGGTGTCACATCTAGGAAACCACCGCCTGATACAAGGTCATGATGATTTACAGCCATACTTTTTTCTAAGAATTTTGTACTGTTAGCCCTTATATTAAGAACTTTGGTCCGCTTTGAGATAATTTTTGTATATGGTGTAGGGTAGGGATCCAGCTCCACTCTTTTGCATCCGGAGGCATCTTGTTTTATTTATTATTTTTTTGTTACCTTTTTGTTGTTGTTGTTGTTTTCATGATCTGGGAGAAGGTCTCATTTTATTCCCATTACTAGGGCCCCAAAAACCCAGTTTGCCATCATGCCATCACGTTCTCGCACATGGGCGCGCACACACACGATAACCCCATAGGATGGGGAGTGCACGCCTCACCGCTCCCACCCCTGACTACGGAGCCTCCTGAAAGTCGTAGCATAAACAGTTTTCTCCTTTGGCTGAGTCATCAGCTGTCTCTACGCCTTTTTGCTAAAACACTAGTATTTGTTTTGCCGCTGAGTTTATCAGGTCTTTTCCAGGAATGGCTAGTCAATGCCTTACTAGCCAAGGTCAGGGCACAGGAGAAGGGGCCTATGCAAAATAAACAGTTTTGTGGGGGGGAGTCAGATGGAGCCGATAACTAGGTGCCATGTATGCAACTCTTCTGAGAAGGCTACATCCATGTCGGACTGTAGTTAACATCCCCGAAAAGTCCTCTGGAAGGCAAGTACCCCATCTTATGTGTCATGATGCCCCCAGCACCTAGCACCACAAAGCAGGTGCAGGGTAAATATTTGGAGAGTGAGAAATGCAATCAGGAAGGGAGTGGAAAGACAGTGGCAGGAAAGGCTGGGTGTGGGGGGAGCTCAAAGCGCGAGAGAAGGCATTGTGTGGGCTTGGGAGCAGGTACTGCCTCGTCTCCCATGTTGGCTTGGCGGGGGATAGAACAGGTGTTAACAAAGTCCGTGTGACTGTACCCCAAGGCAGTGGGCACCTGGAGGAGGCTGACCCATTCCTTCCATTCTTCTTTGGGGAATACCCTCAGCCCCTCCTCCTAGCTGCATAGAAGGCACTTCCTTCTATGAATGGCCGCGGCTCTGTGGAGGCGGTGTCTGCTCTTTGTCTTATAGGGAGCAGAATTGGAGTGTCTGCCAGTTCCCACCTGGCCCCAGCCCAGAGCTGAGCACAGGCTGATCCTAGAACCAGGCAAAAGAAGGACACTGCACTCCCTGCTGGCCATCAGGCAAGGGCCCTGGCTGCTAACCCAGTTGACAAGCCGTAGAGAGAAGAGAAAGGAACATCTGCTCTTCATGGCTTGATCACGAAGGAAGCTGTTGGTGGGGGTATTCAAGCCTGCAGATCACTGTAGTGGGTTGAGTTGTATTCCCCCAAAAAGTATGTCTGAGTCCTCACTCCTGAGACCCATGACTGTGACCCTACTTGGAAATAAGGTCTTTGCTGATGTAATAAGCATCTTGAGAGGAAATCATCCTGGATTCAGGATGGGCCCTAAATCCAATGTCAGGTGTCTTAATAAGGGAAAGGTCTGACAGGCACAAGAAAGAAGGCCACATGAAGATGGAGATAGGCAGAGATCAGAGTGACTCAGCCACCAACCACAGAATACCGGGACCACCGGAAGCTAAAAGAAGCAAGGAAGAATCCTTCCCTAAAGACTTGGGAGGAAACAGGGCCCTGTCAACACCTCAGTGTAGGAGTCCGGGACTCTAAAGCTGCGAGAGAATAAATGTGTGTTGTTTCAAGCCATCGGGCTTGTGGCGGTTTGTTACGGCAGCCCCGGGACCCAGATCACACTTGCCCAAGCCCTGCCTCCTGCCCGGCCGCTCGCAGGCTCCGCTAAGCACAGGATGCCCAATGCGACCATGTCCAGCTGAGCCTATAAAGTGTGTCCCCCGAGGAACAAGGCCATTCCGGGCCCAGGCTGTGCCCACTGGCTACCTATGTTCCCAGGTGCCAAGCTGGGGACCCCCAGGCTTCCAACGGGCAGTAGGTGGGGTGCAGGGATGGGGAGAGGAAAGAGGAGGATTTGGTTCAAGGAGCAAACTGAGGAGGCCGTGATGCTGAGACACGTGGTCCAAGTTTAATGTTTTCTGAAAGAGCATTGGGGACAGCACAAAGCAGGAGGAGGGCACTCTGCTCACCAGCACACCCAGAGAAACTCCATTTTTCAAGTCTGACCAGTAGAAGTCCTTCAGAGGGAAGGATGTGCAGACCCCAGACCAGGTGGCAAGGCCCAGGGAAAACAGAGGAATGGGTCAAGACCAAGGGTCACCAGGCGGTGGGAAGGAAGGTTCCTGGAGGGGCTCGGGGCCCAAGCAGGTAGGAGCAGGACCCTGGCCCTGGGCATTAATGGAGAGAGGCAGGGAAGGGCCACCCAGCCAAAGCCACCCACAGGCCAGAGCACCAATTCCAGGCAGCAGCCCCTTCGGTCACGTCTACACCCCACCTCAGAGAGAGGGTTTTGCCTCCAGTGGTTGAGACATGCCTTATCTCCTGGGCAGAGGGATGGTGCCCCACGGGGGCTCAGAGACAGGTAGAGTGGGGGGCTTCCAGCCCCTTCTGGCTCTTCCCTGCTCTGGGGCCCAGAGGAAGCCCCTCCCATGTTGTCTTGGGCTGCTGACCAAAGAGGCCTGGGGGAGAGCCCTGGGGCTGCCGAGTGTTGAACCCTCTGGGCAACAGGACTCAGAGATGGTGTGCAAGGAGGTTTTGTAGAAAATATTATCTAACCATGACCCTGCTACAAAACGAAGGCCGCAGTGCCTTCCGTAGCTGACCTGTCTAGAAGGAGGAACGCTGGGGTGACAGGCATGAAGGCCCTGAGCAGGGCTCCTGGGCAGTAGGGGGGTGTGGAGCAGAGCCGTGCCGGGAAGGATGGCTGTGCCGTGGATGTATTGAACTTTGCTCCTCATGGAAACATCTGCAGACCCAGGGGCTCCTGACGTCCCCAGCTGCACTCAGGAGTCTGTGGGTTCCGGCAAGCAGGCTGCTTCTCTCAGCCCAGAGACCAGGGCCAAGGGCTGAAAGCTGACATTCGCTACCTGAACCCGAACCCCCTCACTATTGTGGCTCAGAAATACCAGCTGAACCCGCGGGCAAGGCCAGGATGTCCCCCAGACATGGATGTCAGCCCAGCTGTTGTCCAAGAAGGCTCATACGTGGCCTAAGAGGGTCCCCATGCCCTCCACCCCTTCCCCCATGGCCCACCGCGACTACTTCAGGTCTTCTGGAACATGCAAGTCAGGCGAGAGCAGCCTCCCCGGGGAGTCAGTGCTGCTGGAGCAGAGGCAAAATTACACCTCCCTTTTCCCACATGGCTTGCCTTTGCTCCTTTCACACACTTTAGCATTTCCCTCATTATTTCCAGCCCTGGGAGCAAGGAGGACTCTGGGACACCCTGCCGTGTGGCAGCCTGCCCGCGGGGTCGCCTAAGGATATGCGCACGGAGGGGAGCTGGAAGCCCCCCCACCACTCCTCGCAGGTGCCTGCCCGCTAAGCCCACCCAGGAGCCTGCGTGGCCGGCAAGCACAGCTGCTCTTGCTTCCCCTTCCTTGAGGGGCGTCTTGTAGAAGGCCGCAAAGCCGGGGCGGTGGGGTGGGGAAGCCAGGCCTGGGGAGGGGCCGCAGCGAGCACAGCGTGGGGCCGCGGGGCCTCCGGGCTAGGGCTCCGCGGCGTGCTTGACCAGGTAGCCACTGAAGGTGATGTAGGTGTCAAACTCGTCACTGAAGATGGCGTTCTCCCGCTCGCCCTTGAAGAGGCGCACCCAGACCTCGTCCTGGTCCCGCAGCTCGAGCATCAGGCTCTGGCTCTGCATGATGCTGCGGTCGCTCACCTGGGCGTACAGGATCACCACCTCCTCCCCGTTCTTCATGATGTGCAGGTACGTCTCCTTCTGGTTCCAGGTGTGCACGTTGAGGCTGAAGAAGTAGATGCCCGGCACGTAGCAGTAGAACTTGCCCGTGAACATGTTGAAGTGGCCGTAGAGATTCACGAACTCCGTGTCAAAGATCACGGTCTGGTAGTAGTCGTTGCTGTGCAGAGGCTTCTTGCGGCCCACTGAGAAGGCGGCATAGTGGTTCTTGCAGCGGTCCCCGGGGGCCCCCATGGACCCCTTCTGCCCTTTGGGGCCCACGTGGCCCCTGGCGCCCACGGAGCCCGTCTTGCCGTATTTCCCTTGCAAGCCTCGGTCTCCCCGGTCACCCTTCTCACCTAAAGGGCCAGGAAAACATGCGGTGTCAGGCAAGCTGACCCAACTGTAAGGAGTGTTCTATTTTCATCCAGAAGCAATCATTCCCCCCCCCCCCGGGTAGTCCTGGAAAGAAAAGGGAACATGGGGGTTTGTCCAAATGCAACAGGCACTGCAGCCAGGTGCATGGAGGACTCGGAACAAATGAACTGCAGATGTCAGGCTCGCCCCAGAGCTCCTCAGTCAGATCTCGCAGGGCTGTGTGAGGTTATCTGGACCACGGGGGCCCAGGGCATTTCAGAAAGCAGGCTGGGGTGGAGGGGGCGGGGCCCACTGAGCCTCTAAACAGAGGTTACAGAGGCTCGGGTGCAGCCTGGGATGAGACCCTCCTCCTGTCCTGGTCCTGCGGGCCTCTTTCCAATCTCTCCTCCTGGCGAGGGGGCAGAGCCTCAGATGGGAGTTTCTCCTCCTTCACCTCTAGAGGATAGCCTGCCCCTGCGCCGGGCCCTGCGGGAGCCATTCTGCACCCGCCTCATCCACCCTAACCGCTGCGTCTTCTCCCCGCTCAGCACAGAGCACCCCCCACTCCCGCCCAGGGGTAGCTCCCCTTGGTGGCTTTGCAGCCGTCCGACCTTTCAAGATGGTGATGTTGATCTGCGGCATGGGGATGGCCTGGTACACGGGGCTGCCAGGGTCACAGCAGCGAAAGCACCGGGAAGCAGGGGCCTCCTCACCCTGCCTGGGGCTGTACTTTTCATGGTTTTCTTCATCCCTAAGGGAATAAAGGCGTTACAGGGAAGGCCACGAGCTCTGGGAGCTGGGACCTCCTCTCTCTTCTGCTGCCGGAGGGTCTGGTCTACCTGCACGCCTTCCCTCTGGCCTGGACGTGCCAGACTGTGTGCTCTTTCCCTGACACAGACCGCGGTGGCTCTGGGCGAACTCTGGGACCCTACATGAAGTTTCCGGAAGAGCTCCTCTGCCTTCTGCTCATGGCAATACTCGTGATGGAAACAGTGACTACCAAAACGGTGCTAATTTTAGGGCCCCGCGAGACAGAGGCTGCTCGGCGAGATCTGCCCCTCCGGGAGGGGTTTCAGATGATGTGTGACCAAGCCGTGGGTCCCCTTCGTGCCACTGTGATCCCAGAAGATGCGACATTAAGCTGACTCATTTGGAAATGATCTCCGGGATTCCTTGGAACGGCAGCCCCTGGAGAGCCACCCTACTGTTTACGAGGGACACCGGGCAGGGTGGCCGCTGACGGCTCCACGCTGCCACCTTGTGGCACCCGCTGCTCGTTCTGGCCTCTGCTCTTTGCTCCAGGCTCTGGAGCTGTGACATCTCCGAGAAGGTCCCTCCATCTCAATGGCCGCTTCCTTCTCTAGCTCTGCTCCTGCTTTTAAAACCCAGACAATCCAGGAAATGGGTCTGTACCCCCTAAATTCACGCCCCACAAGCACTGGGCTCCCAGGTGGACCCCCACCTCTCGCCGGAAGTCCCCATCTAGGGTCAGCAAGCCCCACAAAGGTGATGTGTCCAAAAGTGTCGGCCCGTCGCTCTGCCCCTGGAAACTTCTCTTTCCAAACCCTCTTCACAGCACCATCACTGGTTGCCCAGGATGGAATCTGAGGCTCATTCAAGAGGCCTCTCCAGCCTCGCCACCCAATTCTGAGGATCACAAGGTCCTGAGCAGTCAGCACGTGCCCCCCCACCAAGGTACCTGCAGAAGCTGGGCCTTCAGGCCTCCCCATCTCTGGGGGACCGTTACCATTCTGACTGCTCTCCTGGAATCCGCCTCTCTCCACACCTCCCATTTATCCTGCCTCCTACAGCCTTCTTTCTGGAATGTCATGACATTGAAACCTCTCCATGACGTCCCCACCCCCTTCATGATAATCCCTCATGACTCCCTGTAGGATTAAGTTCAGGAGAGACCCCTCCCCACCAGGCTCATCTCCCCTCCCCTTCCCACCCCCCAACATCAACCCCACTACCCCAAACCCACCTAGCACGGCCACACCCTCCTCCTGCACTTGGGTTGCTCCCTAGGCGCAGGTATCCTTCAAGATGCAGTCACTCCTTTGCTCATTCTCTCCCCCCACCCCCACCACCCCCAGCATTGTGTGCACACTTGCACTACAGAGCCTACCTCACTGCGCTGGGTCATGTGTGTCTGCTTCCCCACGGCCAGAACTGTCATTCGTGCATGTCCCCCAGTGCCTAGCAGATGGCCAGATCAATAGTAGGCACTCAGTGTTGATTGAATGAAAAGTGAGGAGAGGAGGAAGAGAAGGAGGAGGAAGGGGAGGAGGAGGAAGGAGAGGAGAAGGGGGAAGAGGACGAGAAGGAGGAAGAAGAGGAGCAGGAGGAAGAAGCGGAGAAGGAGGAAGAAGAGGAGGAGGGGGAAGAGGAGGAGAAGGAGGAAGAAGAGGAGCAGGAGGAAGAAGAGGAGGAGGGGGAAAAGGAAGAGGAAGGGGAGAAGTGAGGGGGGAGGGGAAGGGGCTGAGGGGGAGGAGATGATGGATGTCAATGTGTCCCACACCATACTCTGAAGATAGCCTGAAGCCTTGGGTATCGAGTCAACCCAAAACTCAAAATAATGAAGAAATTCAAAGCATCAGCCTGTCTCCCAGGTGTCTAGGACCTCACATTTGATGAATGACAGTTTCATGAGCAATCCTAAGCATTTTGTGCATCCCTACTAAATATTCCAAATAGCCCAAAGTCTCTATATTATCGAAGGTCACATCCACGAAGAGGATGCCATTCAGGAGAAATTCATGACTTTCCGAGAAAAGCACAACTTCCCTGCCGGCCCTGAGCAATCCTCTCGCACTGGCAGCCTGATCAGATGGTCAGGGTCCCCGGACCGGCTCACGGCAACGTCCCTGCCTCCTACTTGTAGGTAGCACTCAGAGCCCTGGAAGATATTCTCGAAGGACAAAGCTAGAATAGAAGGACAGACAGAGGGCTGGGGTCGGGGTTTGGGGGAAGGCTTTACCTAAGGCTGTGGCTGCAACACTGTACAGAAACCCAGTCCCTTTGGGGTTAGAGCAAGGTGGGTCACTGTCCTCACTTTCAGATAAGGCCCCGGGGTCACTGAAAGGAGAAAAGGCTGGGCTGTCCTCCGGGACCAGCGTCGGCAAGGACACTTCCTCAGCTCTGGCTATGGCTCCTTCGCATCCAGCCCCGAACCAGCCCCCCTGGGGTGCCCTGGACCCCAGGCTCAACCCACCCAACCCAAGCCCCTGCATCCACACCTCCCCGTCTCTCACCTCTCAGCGTGGTCCAGCGGCGGCTCCCTGGGCCCCTCCCGCTCCTGCAGCTCCTGCGGGCCCCGTGGCACACGGCCCAGCGCCGGGCCACAGGCGAAGGCCAGCAGCAGGCAGCATGCCAGCACGAGTCTCAGTCCCCGGGAGCCCATCTTCCTGCCGGTCCCTGCCGGGAAACACACGCGGGGAAGGACACGGGCTGGGGCGGGCCCCGCGGAGAAGCCAGCGCGAGCTGTGGCCAGACTCACGAAACCCGGAACGCTTCAGCCACGGCACCTTCGGGGAGGGCGACCACACACACGTACGCTCACACTCACACACTCCCGCACGTTCTCCACGCGCTCATCCGCGTACGCTCACGAACTTACAGCACGTGGGCCCGTGGACTCAGTACTCACGCGCACGCACCTCACACATGACAACGCCAGCACATACATGCACCTCCTCTTGCACTTACACGCTTGCACCATCCTAGCACATTCACTCATACACACTCATACACCTCAGTGCACACACACCCGTGTGCATGTTCTCACCCGCTCGACACACTCCCACACTCCCACACTCCCACACGCATTCGGCACGCTCAGTACCTGTCTGCACACTCTCACACACGTGTGCCCACGTGCACACTCGCACACCCACGTGCTCTCACACGGCCGCACGTGCGCGCACACATTTGGCCCGTGGAGCCTCAGCCAGCTGGGCTGGTGCTGGAGCTCTCAGGCGAAAGCTCTGGACAGCTCCGCAGCCAGTATGGAGGACCGTCCCTCTAGAAAGACGTGTCCACTGTGGGTCCCCAGTGAGCCCATTAGGGGGCAGTGCTTGGGCTTCAAATAGGCAAAACATCCCATCCCTTTCCACCGTTGGAGGCATCTACCCCAGCTAACTCGGGGAGCATTTTCCACAGTCTGGAGTCAGAAGTCCCGCGGGCCTGGCTGTTCGCGGCGGGCGGGGAAACCTCCCCACGGCAGGAGCGCATAACTGGTCAATCCAAACCCATCTTGGTTCACCAAAACATGCAGTGCAGCACCTCACAGGCCCAGTGAGGCCAGAGAGTTCAACCCTTTCAGCTGCCCCGTGAGAAACGGAGGTCTGGGGGAGTAAGAACCACCCACCCCTCGAAGGCCAAGTTACAAGTGGGATCCAGGTCGCTACTGAGAGGCAGATCTCGAAAGGTCCCATGTCTGATCTTTCTTTAATTCCTCTTTTATGTTTAAGGACAATTAAATCCCAAGACAGATTCCTTTTTTTGTCAGGAATCATCTACGCAGATGAATGCTCCTTTTGTTGGCTGGGGGAGGCCGTGGGCTTCCCTCAAACACCCCATTGCTCGGAGAACTTCTAGCTGGTGGGGCATGACCTTGTAGCTAGTAGGTCGACTTTTGGGCTTTGTTCTTTACTCTGCATGTCGGTGGGCTCGCTGTTACAGTGCTGAAGAGAGGCTGCTCTGGGAGGCCTCCTTGCTGGAGCCCCCAGGCCAAATCAAGAGAACATGGGGGAGACAGAGAGCTGGGAACCAGAGCCCTGGGACAGAAACAGCAGGAGCCAGAGGCTCTCTGGATGGATCCTCAGAGATGTGATGAGCCTCTGAGCTAGGGAGGCTGCCTCCCCAGAAATCCCTTCCTCCCTTATCACCCACACCTCTGCTGGGTCTTCAATTCTCTGCATGACTCCCCACCTCATCCACTGCAGTGGATCAGTGGGGCCTCCTCACCTTTGAGTTCTCTACCAACCAACCATCCCTCCCAAGCGTCAGGGCCCAGAGACCTGCCCAGTGGTCAAGAGACTATTTGGACCAGCCCCCCACTCAGAATCTCTACTGTACATGTTTATGTGGATTTATAAAATACATATTAAAATTATCTACCTATCCATCCATCCATCCATTTGTCCATTGTCCATCCATCCACCCATCCATCATTTCTCCTTGGCAGAGCATGCATGACACCCCAGTCTGTCCCCACTTTTCGGCCACGTTGTACAGCACCCCTCATCTTGTGCTCAAGCTCCCTGCTTTGCAGACTTTCATGTACACACATACCACCTGGGAAATCTGGTTAAAATGCAGATTCTGATTCAGCAGGTCTGGGACAGGGCTTGAGGGTCTGCATTTACCAAAAGCCCCAGGTGCTGTCAGTGCTCCTCGGCCTCGGACCATGCTTTTGAATCCCAGCTTCCAGCCACTCCCCTAAACTCCTGGCATCTGTCCACCCACACACAACCTGCTCCCCTGGCCAGGAGTTCCCATTCTCCTCCTCTCTTCTATTAAAAACCAGCCTCATAGGACCTACAGCTGCCCCAGGCGCTATGCTGAGTGTCCAGGCATCATCTCAACTGACTCTTCTGACCTTATAAGTCAGGGTTAGGTCTGAGAACACTTCCTAATTAGTCATTCTTACCCCACCAGCGGCCTCAGAGGGGCCTGCGGTGAATCCTTCAAGGAGACAATATTCATCCATTATTATACCAAACTTACAAACGAGGAAACAGAGATGTAGAGAAGTTGATTAGCCTCAGACTGCCCAACCTCTAAGTGGGGGCTGGAGGGGGCAGTGGATTTGACTTCAACAGGCTGCCCTCAGATCATATCAGTACCCTACCTGGTCCTCAGGACCCAACTCAAGCACCTCCTCTTCCTCCCGAGGCCTTCCCAGACCCTCAGTTGGCAAAGCCTCTCTGTCCCCTTTTCAAATTTTGTTTTTCCTGTTGTCTCATTCTGCAGAGTTTTGCTTGGCCTATAAGATTCTGCACAGCAGACCCTGACCTCCTGGTCTTGTTCATCTTGGACCAGCCGAGCATCCTGCAGCACCCTGAACTTGATCGCTGCCCAACAAATGTTTGTGAAATGGACTTTTCTAAAGTTGTTTATTTCCCTTTTTCTGTATTTCCTCTGCTTTTCCTTGGCACCTCAATAATTACTCTTTTTTTTTCCCCTCCTTTAAATGCCAAGCTTGCATCACTTGAAAGGAAAAGAGGTTTTCCTTTCTTCATTTTTTTTTCCTGAATCCAAAGTAATATATATTCATCTGACTTTTCATCCTGAAAAGTCAGGAGATAACAACAAACACACATAAAAAGCTACCTCGGATTCTTTAGTCCCCAGGGTTTCTGAGCCTCGGCACTATTGACATTTGGGGCTGACTCACTCTTTGTTGTGGGAGGTTGTCCTGTGCGCTGCAAGATATTTATCAGCATCCCTGGACTCCATGCACTGGATTCTACTGACAACCCCCGACTCCCAGTTGTGACAGCCAAAAACGTCTCCAGACTTTGCTGGAAGTCTGTACCCTGGGAAGGCAGAAATCCCCCTAGCTGAAGGTCAATGCTCTAGCCCCAGTGGGAGCACCATTTGGCACATTGGTATGTCTCTTCCTAGTCAGGACCTGGATGCAGCCGCCTTTGGGGTGATGATATCAGTGGGGAGGGAGCCGGCAAGGAGTCAGAAGCACCAGGCTGACAAAGTGAAGGGCAGCAGAGGCTGGTGGTTCTCCTCAAGAACCTCCTCTTTGGGGCCAAAGCAAACCCTGAGTGAAATCTTTCCTTCTTCAAAAATATCTGAAGAGCCATTTTACCAAGTCCCAAAGAAAAGTCAGCATCATGACATTATGATCATTTTAGTCACTTTTGGGCAAAAACAATATTGCCCAACATCCAACCAAACTTGACTCCAAATCACTTTTAGTAATTTCCAGTGAAATGAAGTCACCAACAGAGGGCGAGGCTTTGCCCCCAGGAAGATTCGCTCAGAAGACCACGATGCACCCAGTGAAGGCAGGGCCGGGCCCCCGGGACTTCTTGGCCAGTGGTGTGTAACCCTCACCATCTAGCCCACACGGTCCAGTCTCCAGGCTGTCTTGCGGTCAAGGCATCTGAGGCCAACTGCAACGTGACTCAAGTTCCTGACTTGCCGTTCTCAAACCTTGTGAAGAAATTCGTTTGCCAAATCCCATGGCAACTCCACGAACACCTTTTTCCTCCTACTCCCTGCCCCAGAAGGCCCGTGGCTCCTCGGCTCCTCTCCCATCTAGCTCCAGCTTAGCCTCCCCCCAAGAGGAAGAACCCCCTTTGCAGGACTGGGGGTGCAAAAGGGGGAGCTGGGCCACTTACGGGGTCTGAGAACACTTCCTCATTAATAATTTTCATCCCTTTTCATGGGATGGACGCGGGGTGAATCCTTCAAGGAGACAGTCTTCAGATCCACACTGCAGTTTCCCGGTGTCTGTTTAAGATCCGTCCCACCGCCCTCCGTGTTGCCCTGCCTGGGATCTGCCAGGAAACTCCCAGAGCCCGGGCGCCACATGTTTGGGTTTGGCCACGATGCCACACCCAGCCCAGTGCCATCTGACAAAAGCATTTATAAACATGGTTTTCCCTCTTCCTTAATCCTCAGCGGGTGACCAGCTTTTCCGGGAGGCAAGAAGCCTAGGATCTCCCTGGATAAGAAGTTTAGAAGACAAGGGGCGCCTGGGTGGCTCAATCGGTTAAGCGGCTGCCTTCGGCTCAGGTCATGATCCCAGGGTCCTGGGATCGAGCCCCACATCGGGTTCCCTGCTCAGGGGGCAGCCTGCTTTTCCCTCTCCCTCTGCCTGCCTCTCTGCCTACTTGTGCTCTCTGCTAAATCTCTCTGCTAAATAAATAAAATCTTAAAAAAAAAAAAAAAGAAGTTTAGAAGACAAGACATTTCCTCCCTCTAGGCAGAACATCTTGCATGGGCCTAGACTCACCAAAGGCCCATGATGTGCCCAGCCTTGTGTCGGAGCTCGGGAGAGAGCGATCCTACCATATGTGAAATTCCCTCCCTGACCTCGAAAAGATTACAGTCCAGTGAAGAGACAGATGTGCACTCAATCGCAGCTCAAGACAGAATGGCGAACGTGGGATCAAAGTGGTAAGTGCGTAACGAAGGTTCAAGGGTCCAGGGCGACGGCCGCTGGGCCACGTGTGGCTATTTCATTTTAAACTAATTAAATACAATTAAATAAAATTCGAAGTTCAGTTCCTCGGCCACACTAGCCACAGCCCGAGACGTTGGTAGCTGCATGCGGTTGGTAGTTCCCACGCTGGACGGCACAGAACAGAGTGTTCCGATCATGGCAGGAAGTTCTATCGGACCAGACGGTGTCAGGGGGGGAGGAAGCAGGGCTCAGAACAAGCCGCCAGCCAGAAATCTGGGAGTCGTTTGGGCTTCTTCCTCTCATGCATCCGCCACATCAAATCAGTCACCCACCCCCTTTAATATCTCCTGAAGGTCCCTCATCCTTTCTGCCATTTGCCTCCAGGTGATGGTTTCCAGGAGCTCTGGCTGGGGCCCAGACCTCAATACACGCAAGACAAATATCTTTGTCTGGCTTTTCCAGTGCCTGGACATTACCCCAAAATCTTACACAGGGCTCCAGAGGAAGTTGGCATAAAAGGAGGCTTTCTCCCACACCTCATGGCTTCTAGGCCAAGAATGCAAGTTAGCGCGGCACGCGGTCACTCCTTGTTTCAGCGTGGTGTCAACCATGCTTGCGCCGCCGCGGCCCCCTCCGCGCATCTGCTCCTGCCACCTCCCGCTCCCCGGCATCCTCCCAACCAGAAAGGAAGCTCCCAGGCTGCCCCCCTCTGCTTTGACATCTGCTGGAACTCTCCCACTGAAGAGCTCAGAGCTCTCCAGCAGCTGCAGGAAGCCTGGTCGGTTTAGATCCTGGGGTGCCCAGGAAGGAGAGAGCGCCATGTTGGGGTGTCCCTCTGGCCCTGATGACCATCACGTGACCCCTGCTTTCCTTCCCCAGAAGCCGTTCGTCATGCTAACTTTCCTCTCACCTAACTCCTCTGGTGACGGGAAGGAAGGAGGCAGAGTGACTTCCAGTTGATAAACGACGTTTGCTCACCAGTTTCAGAAGCCCATTTAATATCTAATTTCCCCTTCTGTAGCCGGGCAGCCTAGCTGGCCCCAGACCCTTCCTGCCCCGCGCCGCCCCCCCCCCACCTGCCCCTGCCCCGTAAAGGAGGCAGCGGTGGGGGCATGACGACCCCTCATTAAGGGAACGTCGGTCAGTTCCTGCCTGGAACAGAGTGTTCCGATCATGGCAGGAAGTGCCTCCCTGAATCTTTCTTTTCCCTTCTCCAAGGAGCTGGCTTAGAGAAGTAGGATTTACTTTTTAAGGTTTTGGGGTTTATTTGGTGACCTCCAAAGCACACAGCCAGGGGTGGAGATGGGGTCTTTTAGAGCTACTTACTGGTTAATAAGCAAGGGCTAACTCTTCCCCGCCTTGCAGAGAGGCTGGCTCGGGACCAAACAGTAAAGAAAAGAGAAGGCAAGCGGTCCCCCCATCCTAAAACTTCTCCATCTCTTCTGGGCCAACAGTGCCTCGGCAGGGAAAGGCTCACCTGGCGCCGAGAGCGGGCGCGGGCTTCCGCCCAGGCCCCGCAAACAGCAAGACCACGTGGGCTGCAGGCGTCGGGCCTCCGGGGGCACCTGGCCAGCCCAGCCTCCCCAGCTCCGAGTCCATCCCAGTGCAAACAAAGACCTCCTTGACTAGAGCACTGTCCTTAGATCACCTCCCAGCTGTCAGGCCTTGGGCTGCAGGCTCGCCCTTGCTCTGAGAACTGCATGAGAGAGAAGAGCCCCCCACAGCTCGTGCCCTGCCGCGAGCCTGCTCTGCAGGTGGCCTGGCCCAGGGCCCGCTTACCCACAGCGGGGACGCCCTCGGGGTCTGTACAAGCAGTACTAATGTCTTCGGTTCTTCTGGGACCTAGACATCACCCCAACATCCCACAGACACCTCCCGAGGAAGCGTGGCAGAAGATAGAAATTTGTCCCACACCCAGTGGCTTCTAGGTCACGAATATAATTTAGCTCAGCCTGCAAACAGTGCTGGGCCGGCCACCTCCTCTTCCGTCCCTGCTCCAGCTCAGCCTGTCTCCCAGCATCTGTCCTTCACTGTCTGTCCACTGTCTCTCCCTCAGGGACAGGTGTCTCCCAGACTATGGCCTCGGCCATCAGCTCCTCCCCCTCAAAACACACTTTTCTGTCACTTTTTACAGTGACACCTCCCCAGTCCTTGTCCCCACCTCGGCCTGGCCAAGGAGCTCTCGGCCCGCGCCCCCCAGAACAGTGGCCACTAGCCCCTGCTAAATATAAATTCATTAAAATTAAGCAAAATGAAGAATTCTCAGCCGCACCAGGACGTTTTAGGTGGCCGCCCTCTCGGACAGCACAGCTGGGAGAATGTTTCCATGGTGGCAGAAAGTTCTACAGGACAGCTCAGGTTATCTGTCTTCTGACCACCTGCTCTCCGCTCTGCCCCCTGCTCTCCACCTCGAACCCCTAGTTAACTCTGCTCCTGTCCCCACCATACCTGCTTCTGAAGCTACAGCCGCCGCTCACACGGGGCCCCCAGGCCAGAAATCTGGGGGCCATGCGACCCTGCCTCTCACGCACTTATCACCTCTCATCCGTCAGCCAGCCTCCCGAAGGCCTCCGGTCCTCTCCTCCCCAGCCCATCACCTCTTCTTTCTCAGCCGCCCGCTGCTCTGTCTCTCCTCCGTCTCCCCACCTGCTCACCGGACGCACCTTGCAGAACTGCCAATGCGAATTCCACCCTGGGTTTAAAAGGCTTCCCGTGAAAATAAGGAAAATGTTTAAACCTGGAGCTTCACCACCTGGCTCCTGGCTCACCTCTGGCCGCGTCGCCGCCCGGCTCCAGCCATCTGGAGCTGTTCACGGCTCTGCTCGCAGACCCAACACCAGCCGCAGGCTCTCCTCTGTTTGTCCCTTCCCCCACCACCTTCTTCATCCACCACGTGTTCTTCAGAGCACAGTCTGAGGGCATTCCTCCAGGAAGGCACTCCCCCAGCATCCGGTAGGGTCTACCCCCGGATCCAGGAGCCCCCCCCAGGGAGCTGTGTCTCCTCTCATTTACGTCCCCAGTGCCTGATGTCTGATGGTCCACCCTGATGGAACTCCACACTCACCTTTCAGCAGAGCCAATGTGCAAACAGGACCCCAGGATCCCACACTTTCTGCTAGGGCCTCAGGGCGTTCAAACCTCTCTCTAGCTCCAGGGAGGGGGCAATTTGGGGAGAGAGGAGGGAAGGGAGGAGAGTGACCCAGGGTGGGCTCTGGAGGGCCGTCGCAAGGCTGAATCCTGGCCTGGCCATCCAGCCACCTTTTCCTCAGATGCTCCTCTTATCTGCGCTCCGAAAATCTCTTGCTTCATAAGGGCTACGAGCCCTTGCCTCCATTACCAAGGTTACAAGCCACCTAACCTAGAGATGTGTGCTTCGCAGAAAGGCAAATAAACAAACAAACAAACAAGTGGGGGAGGAGCAGCTTCAGCCAGCTAACCAATTAACGACCTCTGTAAACAGAAGACTGCCGACGTGGAGCGATGTTCCTGATGAGTGAAGGCTGGGTTGGAAACACACGCACCATCAGTGCATGTCCATGCACTCAGCCGCTGGGATCTGAAGGCCACCCACCTGGCTGCCAGCAGCAATTATCTCTGGGCAATGAAAACAGGGATGTTTGCCATTCTCTTATTTTGGCTTCTCTGATTTTTTTCTTCTCTAACAGGCACATATTTTTTTTGCATTAAGCACACGTTATTTTCCACTTAGAACAATGACAAATAAACCCCACCCTGGGGATTCAGAGAGCATTTAGCGTATTCCAGGGGATTTGACTCTAAGCAAAGAGAAGGACGACGAAGGAGGGGCTTGGGGACAAGCAGGGCCGCGTGGGGTATAAACTGACCTAGCGCGCTCAAGTCTGGAGTTCCGGCACCAGCTGGATGCCAGGGACAAAGGGCAATAAGAAGGAAATACAGCCTCCCCCCCCCCCCCGCTCGCCCCCGCTCCCACCCCCGGGAGCAGAACCCCTGGAGTTACCATGGATACAGGTTAGGCCAGGGAGGGCCACCTAACTTGGACCAGAGTCAAGCCCGGTAGAGAGATCACGTTTTCTAAGAGGGGGGATTTCTTCTGTCCTCGACACGCCCCTCCCTGGTGGTATTTGCTACGAAGTCCATGGAAC